TCAGTATACATGTAGCCATGATGGTATTGGCTGAAAGACTCATGTGTGTCTTAGGAACAATGTGTTAGGAAATTGAATGAAAAACAATCTTGAGTCTGATATATTATTTAAGAATTCTGCATCAAGCTAAACGGTCCATAGAGGTGACGCTTATCCTGGTTTTGTAGCATTAGGGGAGTAGATTATTTCTACTTCCCTCGGTTGGTTAGCAAGTCCATCGCAGGGTTAACCCTGTCTTGTAGATAATTATTAGACAGTATTTACACTTCATGTCAATGTCTTCAATGGGACAAAGTTAACAGGGGCAGGGGGGAATTATTGGAAGGAGTGCATATTAGAATAGAGGTGCCTATAACAAAATGAAACTCTGACAACAGTGGAAGCAGTGGAAGCAGTTACTAGAAAGGTGGCATTTCTTGCAGAGAGCTATGCCACTCCTAATCTTTCCCTATCCTTCACCATTCTTTTCTGAACTATTGCTAACTCTTTCATTTGATGATTTCCTACTCTGGCGAACTATTGATTCAAGGTCTCTAACAATTTGAAGGTAATTTGTATATCAAGACACAGTCAGAGATGTCATTAAGGGCTGGGCACTAGGAAACCTGACCAGCTGTGAGAATGACTTTGCCATCTGATATGACATCTTTGGGAATTCTTATTTCTTGCATTGAAATCTTCAATTCAAACAGTTGTACCTGCCTGTGAAAACAATTTGCCTTCCTCTTGAAAACCTTAATGAAACCTTCATCGCCAGTCCTTTACATATTTTTTTAAAAGATTGCAGACCATCACATCTACAATAAAGCAAGAAGCCGGCTTGCAAGAGGAGCGTGCATTTATTTAAAAAAAAAAAAGCCTGCTTGGGATAAAACCAGAGAGTTTATAACAATGAGCAGTGAGCCATGTGAGAGTCTAGTCAGTGCTGACATATTTATGTGATTGCTATGTCCTCGTAAGACTTCCTTGAAGTTCACAAATTCTAAATTTATTTTATTCCGACTTGAGTCACAGATTTTAGAGATGTACAGATGAACAACTCAATGAGTACATTTACATACCATATCTTTGACCAGGAACCAGTCCTGTCAGTTTCACCCTGTGGATATACAACACCCGATGTTCTGATCCGCCGTCAGTAAATTTAGTAACACCACCAGACGCTCGTAATGTCAGAGGAAAACCAGCTTTGTTGTATTCCACAATAGTGTAGTTTGTATATGCTAATGTCACCCATGTGACCATCATCTCTGTGGGTTCTCTTGCAAGTGACAACACATCTATGTTAATAACAGAAGCAACTGCTTCAAAATTATCTAACAGATGATCTTTTAGTTTTACTTTGCCCGTCATATAGCAGAGAATTTAAATGCGACCAGTGACGGGGGAGTAAGCTGACTGTTATGGTTAATCTGGGGTATTAGAGAGGCAGAGAACAGTCTATTACATAACAATAACTATGTACCTAGCGCTGTAGCTCAAACTCGTATACAGTCTATTTGTAAATTTCGCTTTCAAATCGCATTCATGAGCTTAAATTGTATTTTAAGAGAGAATTCTTTGACCACAGTACATCCTTCTTTTAAAAAGAAAGATCAACTAACGATTCTCAACGCTTAAAATCGAGCTGACTTCGGCAGATTTATGAAATAATAAAGTAAGCTTGCATGTAGGCTTACATGTATTTCCGTGGTAGCGAAAAAAACAACCGAAAAAAATAACTCACTTTACAGACTTGATTATCTAAAGTTCATTAGCAGATACAAAATTTTCAATTTATACAACTAAGTGTAATGGCTGGTCTGTTCCAAGATTCGTGTTTTCATTATTTCACGGTTTTAAAACTATTTCTTTCTCTACCTGTAGCTGAAATATGAATCTGCTCGGGCTGGGGATCAGCTCCACAACAGATATGTAGAGAACATACCAAAACGAACAGCGCAACCTTCCACGAGCTCGACGCCATGTCTATTTTGCCGACCGCTGCTTCCCGTTGCTATTTTTTTGTTGTTTCTCCGCACGCACGGTGGGTCTGGGTATTTGTCACGTGTAATGCATTTGACTGTTGGAGCTGTGCACTAAGTCACGCCACCTGACGTGACTGGAGCTTTTTTGTGGTCGTCAAAATTAGATTAACTGGCAGTCAGGCAAGGACTTTATGCGGACTTAACATGCATAACTGGGAGAAGTTATGGTAGCCAACTTTGTGTACATTGTACATTGTTCGACCGGTCTGTTTTTTGCGGGCGTTTTTTTTTTTTACTTAAAAATGCGCATGATGTTGATTGATCTTTGTTTATGTGGTCCATGTTCGGAGTCTCCCAGAGCCCTGGGTAGGACATCAAGTTGAGCACGGGCGGTTCTTCACTAGCAGGGCAGGGCTCGGTCGACTTGTAGTCCAACGTATATAGGGGTACGTTTGACCACACCCATCAAAGATACCATCAACAGGCCACGATATGTCAAAAGTGAAGTCACTCATGTACAAGGTCTTGAACATGTTCTCAGTGAACATTAGGAATGGCGCTCGAAATCTAGTAATTGCTCCATAAGGTATATTTGCAAATCTGCAAAGCAGTTTGCATATCAAAACCTGGATTTATAGAGCAGAGCTAATTGTTAATTACTTCCTCGCAATAGCTAAACAACATAAACTCTGCTTTTGAAATGTTATATTTTTAATACTACTGCTCCATCGCTTCGAGTCTCCTTTACGTTTTAACTTTGAGCCTCCGACTTCACAGAAGGAACGAACCTTTTTCTTCGGCCAGCCTGGAAATTGTTTCAGAAAGCCAGTTATAGACACCTGACAAAGCCTGAAAATAAGGGCTGCCAAAGAACCAAATAAATCAAATCTTTGTCTTTCGGTTTAACTCAGAGATCCCCGTCGCAAACTACACGCAGTTGACGAAACATTTACTTCCGGGAAAAAAATTATGAACTTCAAAATATTTTATAGACTCGTAACGATTCCCCTCCCCCCTTCTTTTTTTACCGTTAGTGTCAGTGAAAGATTATTTTCTTCGAAAAGCCTCTTTGCGGAAAGTCAATAAGTTTAAGAGATATATCTACAATCGAACCCCTACTAAACAGTCATCTATTAGCGGAGGTTAACCTAAAAATTCTGTGAAAAAAAAATTCGAAGTTTTGTTTTTACCGGAATTTCAATCTTAAGGTAAAGTTATATTGTGAAAATTGCTTTTACGGTAAGTTCAAGGCTCGTTTTCTCGATCCGAATTAATGAGTCATTTTTGCCTTTGAGGAAAGATACTTTGAAAAGGATTTGAAATTTTCAGGATTTGTTGTTCTAAGTAAGTTTTGTGTTTTAAGCATAGAACTTTTCCATCCAGTGCATTTTGTCGAAGCTATGCATTGAAACGTGTGCTGGATTTTCTGTATCAGATTTAACTGGTAACTGGTGCTTAAACTAGTGAGCTATTTGTATTCTGTTAAAATATGTAAAAAATATTCATTTTGATAAGCTCTTGTAGGAGTTATCTTTTCTCAAGTAAGCCCTGGCATTCCCCAGCTAGTGGCAGATTTAATCACCCGGTGTCATGTTACAATGCAGGTCTAGGGCACAAAAATTTTTTTTTTCATAATCTTTGGTCTTTGATCTAAAAATGTATAGTTTGCCATGGTTTGGAATTAAATTTTAGCCACGAGAAAAGTTTTAAAAAATCGTGCGTTTTTAGGTGAACTCCCACCTTAACGGCCACCCCTTATTAGGTGGCCAGTAATCAAAGTGCCAATGATGGCTTTTCTATTGCTTTTACCCCCTTAAGAAGCGGCTACTATCCATTTTCCCGACGGTGGCCGCTAAATAGGGGTTGAACTGACGTAAATGTATGCATCGGTATTAATATTTCCGAGAACCAGAACACCAGAGTGTTGCGTGATAAGCTAAAATAGGTACTGTTTCTTTAATCGGGCTTCCAACGAGCAACAAAAAAACTCGCCGATGCAAGATCTCTTTTTGTGCATCGATTTTTTTCTACCCGGCCGTGTAATTGGCGTGTTCCCAGTAAGTGGTAGGTTCCTGACGGTGTGACGTGGTGTTCTACTGACCCCTACTATCTTGTACCCCGTGGACTGAATTCGGAGTTACCACCATAAAGTAATTGGTGTAATTGTGACAAATAAACAGGTTACCCACGGCTGGGTAGCCGTTAGGGTTTCGCACTTCGTCGAACGACTAGCTGTACAGGTCCAAGTATATTTCCGGTTGAAACTGGCGGATCAAAGACCCGTCATTCTAAATAATTTCACTCCTTCAAAATTTTCGCCAGTATAGATTATTAGATATCATGTACTTTCTCCTCTTCAGGCATATTGGGTACGCATTACGGACCTTTGGTAGGTGATTAGCTCTTTTGGGGGAAGGGGTTCGCCCTACCCTCCCAGTCCTAGCTTGTTTTATTGTTCGCTACCGTCATGCAACTCGCGCTCGTTGAGGTAAGCTATTTCCGCTTTTAATAGTGCATCATCGGTGAACTGATAAAAGACGGACCTCCAAGGTAAGAAACTATGACACGATCAATTATGTCATAAGTTTTATATGGAAGTAGATAAATAAGACATCATTACCTGGAACCGTTAGATCAACTCAGTTATGAGCAAGTACTGATCGGCCGGCCTGAAAATTAAAAATTCATGCGTGAACGGGACTCGCACATGACCACTGCAATACTGGTGTAGTACTCTGACCAACTGAACTATCAAACGAGAAACTGGGAGCTGGTGACGTGATGAGATCAAAATATAACCGCACATGAAGTATATGAGTACGTATGTGACTGTATGAAAAAATCCTTTCTCGAACAGCGGCTGGTAACGAGCCTACCGCCTATGAGAGATCACAGGCACTGTAAAGGCAGTTGTTCAAATATATTCACCTCCATATCTTAACCATCTAAGAAAAGACAAAGCCGGATGCAAAACGCTAAAAAGCTGTCAGCTTACTAACTTAAAGAAGGTCACCGTGCTGAGATCGTTCCTATCACGCCGAAACCGTTTTGACGATGTCACGCAATATCAACAATTGTTTCGTATTTTTCACATAAACAAAAAACCGCCTCCATAAATCAATTATTTAGCACGCCGAATTTTGTAAAAATGCGAAGACTCATAAGATATGCGTTGAATTTTCGCCAGCTGGCGTAATTACTCAGTCCCACAAGCCTTTGAGCTGTGAATCTTAACGGAGGATAAATAGGGGTGATTTATTATTTTATTTTCTTATTTTATTTTACGTAGAGATCCCGATGAAGGACACGCGATTTGCTTTAGGTACAATGATTTTCTGACCTGAGGTGAACCTCATATTATTCCGAAGCTAACTAATACAATGGCGGCGGCGCCAGACCCACATGAAGTGTTCCGTTCAACAACTGGAAAAACCAATTTTCACCGCGTTACACGACTTCTAATAAGTGGAGGCACAACACTATTGAGGGAAATTTTTGACCTCATATATCCCCCGAGTAGTCTACCAACGATATTGAAAAATCCAGCCACAGAGAAGCAACTCAGATCTGCAAAGCTATCTAAGCCTCAGTGGGACTGTCTTTACCCATCCCCAGGGGCGTACGGCCGGTCAACAGATTTCGACGTTACCTTGCTCTTCAGGTTGCTAAGGACAATATGCAACCTGACCCCTCCTGTATTAGGGTGGGATGCTCTACCAGCACCTACAGACTGCAGCTTACCCGATGATTTGGCGAGAATTAAATATTATCGCAACTCAATATACGGTCACGTGAACCAAAACATGGAGATAACCGATGGCGCGTTTCCTCTCCTTTGGCGGGAAATTAGCGGTGCCCTTGTGCGAGTCGCGGGACACATCAGCCGTGCAAAGAAGATGGAATGGCAAAAAGCCATTGATAAGTTTTTAGCGGATCCCCTCACAGCAGAAGACGAAAGAAACATCCAGGAACTGCTGAAGTGGTACGAAAACGACACAGAAGTGAAGAAATCTGTGATGGAACTGAAAAACGCAGCTCAAGAAGGGATGGAACGTTTGGAAATTAGTTTACAAGGTATTCAGGAAGTACTTGAAGTTGAGGCAAGCTCNTCAGTATACATGTAGCCATGATGGTATTGGCTGAAAGACTCATGTGTGTCTTAGGAACAATGTGTTAGGAAATTGAATGAAAAACAATCTTGAGTCTGATATATTATTTAAGAATTCTGCATCAAGCTAAACGGTCCATAGAGGTGACGCTTATCCTGGTTTTGTAGCATTAGGGGAGTAGATTATTTCTACTTCCCTCGGTTGGTTAGCAAGTCCATCGCAGGGTTAACCCTGTCTTGTAGATAATTATTAGACAGTATTTACACTTCATGTCAATGTCTTCAATGGGACAAAGTTAACAGGGGCAGGGGGGAATTATTGGAAGGAGTGCATATTAGAATAGAGGTGCCTATAACAAAATGAAACTCTGACAACAGTGGAAGCAGTGGAAGCAGTTACTAGAAAGGTGGCATTTCTTGCAGAGAGCTATGCCACTCCTAATCTTTCCCTATCCTTCACCATTCTTTTCTGAACTATTGCTAACTCTTTCATTTGATGATTTCCTACTCTGGCGAACTATTGATTCAAGGTCTCTAACAATTTGAAGGTAATTTGTATATCAAGACACAGTCAGAGATGTCATTAAGGGCTGGGCACTAGGAAACCTGACCAGCTGTGAGAATGACTTTGCCATCTGATATGACATCTTTGGGAATTCTTATTTCTTGCATTGAAATCTTCAATTCAAACAGTTGTACCTGCCTGTGAAAACAATTTGCCTTCCTCTTGAAAACCTTAATGAAACCTTCATCGCCAGTCCTTTACATATTTTTTTAAAAGATTGCAGACCATCACATCTACAATAAAGCAAGAAGCCGGCTTGCAAGAGGAGCGTGCATTTATTTAAAAAAAAAAAAGCCTGCTTGGGATAAAACCAGAGAGTTTATAACAATGAGCAGTGAGCCATGTGAGAGTCTAGTCAGTGCTGACATATTTATGTGATTGCTATGTCCTCGTAAGACTTCCTTGAAGTTCACAAATTCTAAATTTATTTTATTCCGACTTGAGTCACAGATTTTAGAGATGTACAGATGAACAACTCAATGAGTACATTTACATACCATATCTTTGACCAGGAACCAGTCCTGTCAGTTTCACCCTGTGGATATACAACACCCGATGTTCTGATCCGCCGTCAGTAAATTTAGTAACACCACCAGACGCTCGTAATGTCAGAGGAAAACCAGCTTTGTTGTATTCCACAATAGTGTAGTTTGTATATGCTAATGTCACCCATGTGACCATCATCTCTGTGGGTTCTCTTGCAAGTGACAACACATCTATGTTAATAACAGAAGCAACTGCTTCAAAATTATCTAACAGATGATCTTTTAGTTTTACTTTGCCCGTCATATAGCAGAGAATTTAAATGCGACCAGTGACGGGGGAGTAAGCTGACTGTTATGGTTAATCTGGGGTATTAGAGAGGCAGAGAACAGTCTATTACATAACAATAACTATGTACCTAGCGCTGTAGCTCAAACTCGTATACAGTCTATTTGTAAATTTCGCTTTCAAATCGCATTCATGAGCTTAAATTGTATTTTAAGAGAGAATTCTTTGACCACAGTACATCCTTCTTTTAAAAAGAAAGATCAACTAACGATTCTCAACGCTTAAAATCGAGCTGACTTCGGCAGATTTATGAAATAATAAAGTAAGCTTGCATGTAGGCTTACATGTATTTCCGTGGTAGCGAAAAAAACAACCGAAAAAAATAACTCACTTTACAGACTTGATTATCTAAAGTTCATTAGCAGATACAAAATTTTCAATTTATACAACTAAGTGTAATGGCTGGTCTGTTCCAAGATTCGTGTTTTCATTATTTCACGGTTTTAAAACTATTTCTTTCTCTACCTGTAGCTGAAATATGAATCTGCTCGGGCTGGGGATCAGCTCCACAACAGATATGTAGAGAACATACCAAAACGAACAGCGCAACCTTCCACGAGCTCGACGCCATGTCTATTTTGCCGACCGCTGCTTCCCGTTGCTATTTTTTTGTTGTTTCTCCGCACGCACGGTGGGTCTGGGTATTTGTCACGTGTAATGCATTTGACTGTTGGAGCTGTGCACTAAGTCACGCCACCTGACGTGACTGGAGCTTTTTTGTGGTCGTCAAAATTAGATTAACTGGCAGTCAGGCAAGGACTTTATGCGGACTTAACATGCATAACTGGGAGAAGTTATGGTAGCCAACTTTGTGTACATTGTACATTGTTCGACCGGTCTGTTTTTTGCGGGCGTTTTTTTTTTTTACTTAAAAATGCGCATGATGTTGATTGATCTTTGTTTATGTGGTCCATGTTCGGAGTCTCCCAGAGCCCTGGGTAGGACATCAAGTTGAGCACGGGCGGTTCTTCACTAGCAGGGCAGGGCTCGGTCGACTTGTAGTCCAACGTATATAGGGGTACGTTTGACCACACCCATCAAAGATACCATCAACAGGCCACGATATGTCAAAAGTGAAGTCACTCATGTACAAGGTCTTGAACATGTTCTCAGTGAACATTAGGAATGGCGCTCGAAATCTAGTAATTGCTCCATAAGGTATATTTGCAAATCTGCAAAGCAGTTTGCATATCAAAACCTGGATTTATAGAGCAGAGCTAATTGTTAATTACTTCCTCGCAATAGCTAAACAACATAAACTCTGCTTTTGAAATGTTATATTTTTAATACTACTGCTCCATCGCTTCGAGTCTCCTTTACGTTTTAACTTTGAGCCTCCGACTTCACAGAAGGAACGAACCTTTTTCTTCGGCCAGCCTGGAAATTGTTTCAGAAAGCCAGTTATAGACACCTGACAAAGCCTGAAAATAAGGGCTGCCAAAGAACCAAATAAATCAAATCTTTGTCTTTCGGTTTAACTCAGAGATCCCCGTCGCAAACTACACGCAGTTGACGAAACATTTACTTCCGGGAAAAAAATTATGAACTTCAAAATATTTTATAGACTCGTAACGATTCCCCTCCCCCCTTCTTTTTTTACCGTTAGTGTCAGTGAAAGATTATTTTCTTCGAAAAGCCTCTTTGCGGAAAGTCAATAAGTTTAAGAGATATATCTACAATCGAACCCCTACTAAACAGTCATCTATTAGCGGAGGTTAACCTAAAAATTCTGTGAAAAAAAAATTCGAAGTTTTGTTTTTACCGGAATTTCAATCTTAAGGTAAAGTTATATTGTGAAAATTGCTTTTACGGTAAGTTCAAGGCTCGTTTTCTCGATCCGAATTAATGAGTCATTTTTGCCTTTGAGGAAAGATACTTTGAAAAGGATTTGAAATTTTCAGGATTTGTTGTTCTAAGTAAGTTTTGTGTTTTAAGCATAGAACTTTTCCATCCAGTGCATTTTGTCGAAGCTATGCATTGAAACGTGTGCTGGATTTTCTGTATCAGATTTAACTGGTAACTGGTGCTTAAACTAGTGAGCTATTTGTATTCTGTTAAAATATGTAAAAAATATTCATTTTGATAAGCTCTTGTAGGAGTTATCTTTTCTCAAGTAAGCCCTGGCATTCCCCAGCTAGTGGCAGATTTAATCACCCGGTGTCATGTTACAATGCAGGTCTAGGGCACAAAAATTTTTTTTTTCATAATCTTTGGTCTTTGATCTAAAAATGTATAGTTTGCCATGGTTTGGAATTAAATTTTAGCCACGAGAAAAGTTTTAAAAAATCGTGCGTTTTTAGGTGAACTCCCACCTTAACGGCCACCCCTTATTAGGTGGCCAGTAATCAAAGTGCCAATGATGGCTTTTCTATTGCTTTTACCCCCTTAAGAAGCGGCTACTATCCATTTTCCCGACGGTGGCCGCTAAATAGGGGTTGAACTGACGTAAATGTATGCATCGGTATTAATATTTCCGAGAACCAGAACACCAGAGTGTTGCGTGATAAGCTAAAATAGGTACTGTTTCTTTAATCGGGCTTCCAACGAGCAACAAAAAAACTCGCCGATGCAAGATCTCTTTTTGTGCATCGATTTTTTTCTACCCGGCCGTGTAATTGGCGTGTTCCCATTAAGTGGTAGGTTCCTGACGGTGTGACGTGGTGTTCTACTGACCCCTACTATCTTGTACCCCGTGGACTGAATTCGGAGTTACCACCATAAAGTAATTGGTGTAATTGTGACAAATAAACAGGTTACCCACGGCTGGGTAGCCGTTAGGGTTTCGCACTTCGTCGAACGACTAGCTGTACAGGTCCAAGTATATTTCCGGTTGAAACTGGCGGATCAAAGACCCGTCATTCTAAATAATTTCACTCCTTCAAAATTTTCGCCAGTATAGATTATTAGATATCATGTACTTTCTCCTCTTCAGGCATATTGGGTACGCATTACGGACCTTTGGTAGGTGATTAGCTCTTTTGGGGGAAGGGGTTCGCCCTACCCTCCCAGTCCTAGCTTGTTTTATTGTTCGCTACCGTCATGCAACTCGCGCTCGTTGAGGTAAGCTATTTCCGCTTTTAATAGTGCATCATCGGTGAACTGATAAAAGACGGACCTCCAAGGTAAGAAACTATGACACGATCAATTATGTCATAAGTTTTATATGGAAGTAGATAAATAAGACATCATTACCTGGAACCGTTAGATCAACTCAGTTATGAGCAAGTACTGATCGGCCGGCCTGAAAATTAAAAATTCATGCGTGAACGGGACTCGCACATGACCACTGCAATACTGGTGTAGTACTCTGACCAACTGAACTATCAAACGAGAAACTGGGAGCTGGTGACGTGATGAGATCAAAATATAACCGCACATGAAGTATATGAGTACGTATGTGACTGTATGAAAAAATCCTTTCTCGAACAGCGGCTGGTAACGAGCCTACCGCCTATGAGAGATCACAGGCACTGTAAAGGCAGTTGTTCAAATATATTCACCTCCATATCTTAACCATCTAAGAAAAGACAAAGCCGGATGCAAAACGCTAAAAAGCTGTCAGCTTACTAACTTAAAGAAGGTCACCGTGCTGAGATCGTTCCTATCACGCCGAAACCGTTTTGACGATGTCACGCAATATCAACAATTGTTTCGTATTTTTCACATAAACAAAAAACCGCCTCCATAAATCAATTATTTAGCACGCCGAATTTTGTAAAAATGCGAAGACTCATAAGATATGCGTTGAATTTTCGCCAGCTGGCGTAATTACTCAGTCCCACAAGCCTTTGAGCTGTGAATCTTAACGGAGGATAAATAGGGGTGATTTATTATTTTATTTTCTTATTTTATTTTACGTAGAGATCCCGATGAAGGACACGCGATTTGCTTTAGGTACAATGATTTTCTGACCTGAGGTGAACCTCATATTATTCCGAAGCTAACTAATACAATGGCGGCGGCGCCAGACCCACATGAAGTGTTCCGTTCAACAACTGGAAAAACCAATTTTCACCGCGTTACACGACTTCTAATAAGTGGAGGCACAACACTATTGAGGGAAATTTTTGACCTCATATATCCCCCGAGTAGTCTACCAACGATATTGAAAAATCCAGCCACAGAGAAGCAACTCAGATCTGCAAAGCTATCTAAGCCTCAGTGGGACTGTCTTTACCCATCCCCAGGGGCGTACGGCCGGTCAACAGATTTCGACGTTACCTTGCTCTTCAGGTTGCTAAGGACAATATGCAACCTGACCCCTCCTGTATTAGGGTGGGATGCTCTACCAGCACCTACAGACTGCAGCTTACCCGATGATTTGGCGAGAATTAAATATTATCGCAACTCAATATACGGTCACGTGAACCAAAACATGGAGATAACCGATGGCGCGTTTCCTCTCCTTTGGCGGGAAATTAGCGGTGCCCTTGTGCGAGTCGCGGGACACATCAGCCGTGCAAAGAAGATGGAATGGCAAAAAGCCATTGATAAGTTTTTAGCGGATCCCCTCACAGCAGAAGACGAAAGAAACATCCAGGAACTGCTGAAGTGGTACGAAAACGACACAGAAGTGAAGAAATCTGTGATGGAACTGAAAAACGCAGCTCAAGAAGGGATGGAACGTTTGGAAATTAGTTTACAAGGTATTCAGGAAGTACTTGAAGTTGAGGCAAGCTCTGTTGCAGAGAACGTCAAGTGCTTAGGGAGAGAAGTGCGAGAGAGAACACGGGACCTCAGAGAACAGTTAGCAACCGAAATGAAAAACACAACTCAAGCAGTCCAACAAAGAATTGGAGGTTTGGAAACAAGTTTAAAGGCTGCCCACGATGGGCTAGAAGACAAAACACTGTCAATAGAGACAACAGTTCGGGAGGAAGCTCAAAACATTAAAGATCAGCTTGGAACGGTACAACAATCGATAGAAAGGCTCGGTTCCTCAGCTGAGAGCTCTCAAGCCGATGGAGGTTAGCTAAACAGTATTGTACCCTTCTTTGTTTGAAAAATTGATGACAAATTAATGTTTTACAATTTTAAGTTTAGAATTTATATCTGTTGCAGCAGTTGTTGAATAATATGACTCACACGCAGTTATTCCTCCCTCGACGTCCTCGACAATTGCAGGGGAAAATATGTTTGACTAACCGTTTTGTGAATCGTGGGTTCCAGAAAACAACAACAACAACAATAGTTTCACCCCAGATTTAACAAAGAAGAAGAATTTACAATTTTGTTTACATCATTCGGTCAGGGACACAAACACACACACAAAATAACAAATTTAAGTCACACATACATTCAAATTGAAATAAACAAGACAAACAACAAAGTTAAGCTAACCAGTAGACTAAAATTCGTACATTGCAAAGCAGTATCTTTGTCCAGGAAGGGCGATGTACAAATAACAAACACTCTAAATGGTTCCTGTTCTTCCTGTTAGTCAAGATTTGAAGTGATTGGTACAGGCGATATAGATGACATAGTAGACGAGCAAGAACTAAAGAACAACTGGGACGGTTATGAAATAACCTTACTGGGGCCGGGCTTACTTAGAGAAAATCGGCCCTCAATGACCTCTTTGTGCTAAGTCCTCACTGCAAAGCACCGAGTTGTAGCGTTTAATACACCAGCCAACCGCGAGCCCAGGTCAACCTCGAGTCACGAGTCAACATCGAGTTAAGGCGGCGAAATACCTGATGCAAAAACCCTCAACCTGTCGCGCAACATTGTTTCGTTGCAAGTTTTGGGTCGATGTTTCGCGATTTTCACATTGCGTGATCAACTTGTCGCGCAACAAAAACATGTGTTGCGGGTTGTAGAAAGTTATTGCGAAAAGTAGAGCGCGGGTCTACTTTGAGCAACAAATTTTGGCTTTGTTGCTCGTTTTTCATCAAACTCACAACTTGTGACGCAACAAATTTGTTCATGCTCATGCAAATCAACCAATCAGCCTGCTGCATTTCTTCAACCCGCAACAAAAGTTGATCACGCAAGGTGAAAAACGCGGAACATCGACCCAAAACTTGTAACGAAACAATGTTGCGCGACAAACTGCGGGTTTTTGCATCTCATATTTCGCCGCCTTTAACCACGAGTAAAACCAATTTAGATTGTAGGAACCTGAAATATATGAATATAGATTGTCTTAGCAGTTAACAACGGGGCATTTTATAAAAGGCTCACCTCGGTCGCGGCGGGGTGACAGGCCTACACAACACCTATCCACGTGTAATAGCTGCTTTGAAAGTTTTGCCCGAACGATCTGCCCTTTTTGTACGGTATGATAGTGGGATCTTTGAATATTTCGCTATCTAAGCAATGGTTGATTTTGGACTCCTAGGCTTCTTGACATTAGTATATTTGCCGTTCTTTCCTTAATTTCCGTCTCGCGACCTTTTTCGCTTCACACTTGTTTCTGAAGGGTACTTCAGTTTGTGCTGTGTTTTTAGGAGGACATTTTACCGGAGTAGAGCCGATAGTTACAATCTTTATTTTTCTTTTGGAACAAAATGACGAAAAAAAAAAATCGCTTGACTCGTGGTTGATTCGTGGTTGACTCGATGTTGACTCGTGACTCGAGGTTAACTTGGGCTCGCGGTTGGCTCGTGTAACGCTACAACTCCAAAGCATCGGGCCAATACTCTGTAGGTATAGCCTTAACGCTTGTTTGAGGAAAGGCATGTGGTAGGCGTTACCATATGCAGAGGATCACGCGGTAGAGATCACACGATTTTCAGTTCCTAGTTTTTCAGTGTCCACAGTGTCTAGTTCATTAAGAAATTGTTTCCCCACAGCTCGCATTCGACTTCGGATCAATTGCGAGGCCATTTCAGGACCTGGTCTGCAAGGACAATCTCATGAGGTGGTTGCAGCTTCACGGAAACCCGAAGGAGAGACCCAGAGTGCCGGAGGGAACCCAGTCATATCCTGCCAGCAACAATCACCGACCCCTGGAGGTTTCGGGGGAGAACACTTCGGAAATGGAGGCATTCCATCAGCGCAGGGAGTTTTGAATTTCATTGCGTTCAAGTACTTCCAAGCAGTTGACCCGTCTAAACCAGAGGAGTTGAATGGCTACCTTCAGTATCTGAAAGACGTGCGCCAAGTGTTATTCGTTGACGCTCAAACGGGAAGCTTGATAATCACAGTGGAGTGCAATTCGCTGGAAATACTAGAAGGATTATGGGACGACTACAGCACAGGACACTTGAATGAAATTGCACAGAAATTCCTCGTGACAGATAACATTCTCAAGGAGTTTGGCCTCACCGAGGTGAAACTCACCACAACCATCCTAATGAAGGAGTACAAAGCTTGTCGAGAGCAGTTATTGCTGCAATCAGGTAACTGAAAGTATTTCTACAAAGATATTGTTCTCGATCAAAATCATTCCTCATTCCTGACAAAGCCATGTATTGCAGGGACTTAAAGGGCGCTGGAAAGTAAAAACTATAATACCTTAAATCATCTATTACGTCCCACTCCGCGCTCCCAAATTCCCCTACCCTCCCCTCCCCTCCCCCCCCCCCCCCCCCCTGCCAAAACTCAAATACGTCTCTCCCTTCCCTCTCAAATAAGCCTCCTCTTTTTGGCAGTAAATTTTTCTCCTCCCTTCATTTATAAGAGAGGAGAGTAAGGGCTGCTGAAATCCAAAAAGAAAATTGAGGGTAGCCTCGCAATTTTCAGAAAATAGTTAACCTCGAATCTCGAACAAAAATGCTTATGTCAATCGATTTATGAGACCTCATGACTTTATTTTCTAAAAGAAAATTTACGTCATTTTCATATACCGTGAAACCCCGCTTAAGGTCATCTCGTAAGTCACCTCGAATAATTGCTGGTTTTCAGTGTCACGCAATTCAAAATAGATCAAAATCAAAATCAAAACCGTTCAATAGATAAAGTCCAGAATCTGGGAAGTGAAAGAAGGTAGATATGCAAAGACTCTCGCCAAGATTCTGGTCACAGCAATTTTTCTTACGCAAGATATGCGGAGAAATTTTTTACCCAAATTTATAGAGATTTGTATGGAGACGCCATGCTGGTGCCCATCCTTATGGGCACCAACATGGCGGCCTGAAACCAACAGAAACATCTGTCACTGAGTTTTGCTACAAAAGCGTGTATTTATCCTTCTAGGAACTCTAAAACATTAAAATAATACTTTTTCTAAGACATGAACTGTTCAGATAGCCAAATTCCCCGAAATAAGGCACTTTTTTAACCATCATGACAGCTCTCAAGGCCGTCATGTAAATGCCGAGTCACGCGAAAGCTTAGAAATTCAAGCGTAGTGTATCACAAAACCAAGAACCTATTCGGATCGAAAATTTGTATGAAAATTAGTTTTCAGATGCTCTTATACATCATTAAGGTAAAATCTCAGGAAGATCAATAGTTTTGTAGTTTGAATTTTAGGACGTCATGTGAAAACCAGCTATGTTACGGTTACTTTGTCCCGACGAAACGTCCATACATTTTCTTATCCGAAAACCCCGTTAATCTGGCCACCCCAACGGTCAACGGCCGCATTCGGAAATCCCTCCTTGTATAATCCTTTATAATTTTACTCCGTTTATACGGCCGCTCGAAATAGTTATGTTAATCTTTGTATGAACGGTTTCAATTTATTTTAAAAATTACATCTACATGCTGGATGTTTATTAAAAAGCAGTTATTTTCATGGCCCGTTGGGGGTTCCACTGTACACATAAAATATTCTTTTTTCTTTTTCTTCCAACTTTCCTCTCCTTATTTTTCTGTGGAAACTTTAGACGTAGGTAAATGCCAATATAGGTCAGCTCTCAGTCAGAATTCCACCTTTCAAGTTCACGTCGCCTTTCTTGTCCGTGATCGTGGAATTCTCTTTCCGACCATTCTCAGTCAGGAAATATATCTCTTATTGACCTACAATCCCAGACAGAAATAGCTGGGACAGTTAAGCTGGATCCCCCTAATCAGGGTTGGAAAGTGGCGCGTTTTGTTCAAATGAGAGGGGAAAAGAAAAGACCTGATTATATGGAGGAGGGGAGGGGAGAACTTGCTTGGTGTCCCAACATTTTCCGTCTAGGATTGTAGCTTGTTCGGAACCTTACTGGGTGTCAAGACCTTAGGAGTCTAAATTTTCGCGCTTGGTTGGTAAGATGTACATATATACATGTCCTTCTGAAGTAATTGCTAAGCGTGAGAGGCGACCGATGAGCCAGAGCACTAACGGAAGAGCCCATGTCGTATCGGGAACTTCCGGCACGTTCGAGTCATGTGATCGACCTGATGGATTGTGTGACCTTCCTGGTTTTCGTGTTCGATGGCATGCAGTCACTCTTCGCTTGACTCTGTTTTCCCCAAAGCCGCGTTTTTGACAAAGTCCGCCTGCTTTCTTTCTTTCTTTGCTAGGTAGGTAGAAACCTTGCATGTGTGTAATCTTCTCTTGCTTTGCTTCAATGGTTGTGTTCTCGATGATCGCAACGGACTTTAACTTAAGCTTAAATCAAGTTCATTTGTTTCTTCAGAACGAAGATGGGACGTTTTACCTCACCAAGTTTCTTCTGCAGTCACGAGGACAAGTTCCCCCATTAACGGGGCTGGTGATTTTTCGCGAAAAACTTCAAGCCGTGAAAGGTAAGAATTATGGACCGGAAGTCACTCATCCAAGCATGATCACTGAACTGAATGTGGTCAATTCAAGTGTAAACAGGTTAACGAATAAAGTCCTAGTGGCTGATTGAAGACTAGCACATATTTCTCTCGACTTTATCTCCAAAGGAAGGATGCGGTTTTAAATTAAAGCGCTTAATTAGTAAGTTAATTGGAAGTACACAAAGGGCGCTTTAAAAACTCTTTTGGGATATACTCATTATATTCTTTCAAATTTATAAAGCGGTGTAGTCAGTCATAAACTTGATAGAATTCAGTTGACTGCCGTTAGTATAACAGAGACATTTACCAGGACATTTGCTTTTTAATAGTTGTTCAACTTCGTAAACATCAAACTCCCTGAGCTTGTTAGCCCAAATGAATGAGTTTTCCGTGTTCCAAGATCGACGCTGTAAATCGTTGCTGCAAGGCAAACAAATGTAAGCTCATGTATTGATCATATGGACAAATAGTTTATTTTCACTAACTAGCTCGCTGTAGCTACCCAGCTATGAAGCATGCCAGAAAATTTACAAGGTTCCCCCCAGTAATAAAATTATTCATTCATTTAATTAATACAGGCCAAGAAATGTTGCCTTTCAATTGCTATTTGATACATGTACATTGGAGATCTTTTCATGTGCAGCAGATGGGTTAATATATTTCTTAATTTTTATAATAAATGTTTCTGTTATAAAGTCATGATAAGAAAATTAATTTGTAATAATAATTATTTAAAATCTTTATTACAAAGCACCATGGCATCAAGTCCATCTTCGACCGCTGGTTATCTGCACAACTTGTGTCGTCAAGGCAATACAAGTGCGATCCGCCCATACCTTCAAGGGATTTCAGACGTCAACAAGCTGGAGGAACGACTTGGTTTCCTAGGTTACACTCCTCTTCATGAAGCAACCAATCAAGGACAAATAAGTGTTGTTAGACTCCTGCTTCTTTATGGTGCCAATGCAAATGCCAAAGCCAACGGCTTCTACACACCTCTTCATATTGCGGCATCAATGGATAATTTAGATTGTGTGATGGAGCTTTTGAAGCACAATGCAGACATAACAAGTAGAGATGAGTTTGGTAAAACCCCTTATGACACTGCCATGATTCACAAGTGCAAGAAGACAGCACGTGTCCTCAAGAGTGAAGGTCAGACACTTAAATGCAAAGAGGGAATTTGATTGGTAACTTGGTTTATAATTGGTCAAGTTAGAATTATTGTCACACCATGATGGGCTTCAACAAATTTATTGGCAAATGATGAATATTAACTCCTTGAGTGTCTATGTGACATACTCAGTACATCATTATTTTAGTCTCTCAAGGGCCTATATGACGTACTGGGTACGTCAAAATTTTAAGAGATTTAGTCAAACTCTCGGCACACCAGAAACAACTTTTTTTGGCACCTGAGATTTGTAGGAGGTTTTTCAACAGAGTTCTAATTTCCCATTGCTGCGATGTTAATGGATATTAAATTACGTCAACCTCAGTGAAATTAACTGCATTGAGGAGACACTTTTATGACCTTTCAGAAATGTGTACATGTCTTAATATAAGGTTAAGTGAAAAAGCTTACATGGCATATGAAGGCTTTTACTAGACACCCATTTTCAGTGAAAATGGTGTGGCAGACAGCAGACACAATGGTCAGGCACTCAAGGGGTCAAGCAAACATTGCCATAATTGAGGTTTATACCAACTCACACACATAATGCATGTGTCACACACCTGCAGATCTAAAATGTCGATCACATGCATACGTGACAATTTCACATGCGTGACTCACAATTCTGGACTTAACTTGGTCAGTAACCATTAGCATGAATAATTTAATTCAATTTCCAACTGAAATAGTCCTGGTGAGTGAATGGTACTTAATGTCTCATTTGAGTCCTAAATAACAAGCTAAAAAGCCGTGTTTCAGTTTGAGGGAATTCATTGCAACATCTTCAGGAATCTTCAGCAGTGTTCATGAAGTCATCAGAATGTCTTTAGTAAAGTTCAGAAGTCATCGGATGTTTTTTCTGAAATTCAGGTAATATGGATACGAAAATCATGATTACATCTTAGGAAAAGTTGGCAGGTATAGGGTTATCTTTCACAGGGACTTGCAAAAATAATGATTTGTGAAATCTTCAGATAATTAATTTCAAATGAATTTTGTTTGGTGCTTACTACTCTTTTTCCTTTATGCTTACAAATTTGGGAACTCCCTGATACTAAAATGGTTCATTTCTGTTCCGCACACAGAGGTCAAAAAGGCAGCCAGGGAAAACAGTCCAAACTTGAGAGAGATGCTGACATCGATTCGATTACAAGATCTTGTACCATCTTGTTTTAAGGAGGCGATACTGGAAGCTTCACGAGGAGGCCACATGGATGCCATCTGTTCTTTAGTTATCACAGGTGGACGACATTCCTTACAACTCAGAGATTGCATCAGTGAGGCATTGAAGTTCCATGCCTGTGATGCAGCTGCCATGTTGCTAACCTGCTATGCCGCAAAACATGATAAAAAGAAGCTTTTAAAATACTTGATGAGTGTTGAGGTTGACAAAGAAAATGAGCGGGAAGCCCTTGCAGAATTACCAAACGATGTGGTACTAACCCACGATGTTTTGTCTAGAATGAGGTATTTGCTTGTCAATGAGGACTGTGATTTTCATTCTGAATTTTTGCAAAAGTGCTCTATGCATTGGAGCAGATCCTTATTTCTGTAGCATGAAGTGACAGGGAGCAAATTGCAGTTAAATTCCCCTCACAAGGGGGGAGAGTTATATTCCACACTACCTCCCAGCTAGAGAGTGCAGTGCAGTGCAGTGCTCAAGAGTACAGTCTGTTGATAAGGAATTGGAAAAGAGAGGTTGGAGAGATATTGTGTATGGGAGGGATGAGGACAGGAAAAAGGAGTTCTAGGAAGGCGGAAGGGGGGAGCAGGAGAGAAGTACAAAATGCACTTAGTGTGGATTGGACTTGCGAGACAGGTACAGGTAGGAAAGCAGAGTATGGAGAGTGATTCTTACTCCCTGTCCTGCTCCTCAGCCTAATGACCCCAACCCACACTTCAACCCTGCCAAGCCCTAACGGGGGTCATTGTGTTGTGTTCTTGAATAAGACACTGTACTTTCACACTGTTCCTCTCCACCCAGGGAATAAATGGATGCCAGCAAATTTAAAGCTGGAGGGTAACCCTGTGGTGGACTAACATCCCATCTAGGGGAGAATAGATACACTCCTGTTGCACAATGCTATACTGGGGTAGATACAGAATTTTAGCGAAGGGGGTTCAAGATATGGGCTGCAGAAGGTGGTCCCCTGTAGGGTGGTCCAAGGGCAACCTCCGTCATAAAAAGTTTAAAATTGAGGTCCCCAGAAATGGGATTTCCAGCATCCTGAGGCCAAGTCAGTGCATTAATAATGTCTCACTTTTTTTTAATGTAGGGGGTCTGGCCAAACCCCCGAACCCCCCTAGATCTGCTCCAGCAATAGAAGGACAGATAAGCTCTGGCTTTATGAACCACTTGGCCCAACATGGACTTAACCTATTGTTTTTATTCACAATGGTTATCTTGTTATTGAATTGTTTTAAAATATTTTTTGTTTTGTTTTTGCAGGATGTGTATTTCTGACAGAGACTCCTTTAACATTGCAGTACCTATTGGATTAGCTATTCAACAGAAGAAAAAGGAAGCTGCGGGAATCTTCCTCTTGAGTACCAATTGCAATCAAGTGCAGAAACGAATTGATTGGCCCAAACTGGCCCTGGGTGACATTGATCCTTCATGGCTAGAAAATGTCACATGGGTGGAAAAACTCTTCTTAGCATCAAATCTACTTACAAGCGTTCCAAGTAACATAACCATCTTGACCAAACTGTATTGTTTAGACTTGAGGAGGAATCAGTTGAAGACTATCCCTGCTGGTCTACTTGAGATGTCAAGTTTGCGGGATCTGCGGCTGTCTGAGAACAAAATTGTCGAACTGCCTAAGAAATGTAAATGGAGTCCCTCTCTGAAGACACTCAATTTAAATGATAACTCTCTGGAGACGTTGCCTAAGAGCATGGCAAATGCCAAGTTGTCAATTTTGTACATAGCAAGAAATAATTTGTACGAAGTGCCTCTGTGTATCTGTGCGATAACAACCTTGCAGTCACTGGATCTGTCAGGTAACCCTAGATTGACACAGCTTCCACCACAGATGGGACGACTTACCAACATTGAAATGCTTAAATTGGAAAATTTGGATCAGGTGAGGGTTGTAATTAACATGATCAATGTATGAATTGCTCCTTCTGCACACATTGTGTACCTATAATATCAACTGATGTGCTTTTGCTGTGCAAATTATTTGTGTCTTCGATCTTGCTTCACTACATGTGCACAATATTTGAGTTTACTTTTGGCTCATGAACTGTGACACCCCAAAAAAGCTGAGGGCAATGCAACATGGAGTAATTTGCACTGAGTTTCCACTTCATGTGAGAGCCAGAGGTGAGGTGGCCCCATGGTTACTGCACTCAAGGTCCAGGTTTGAGCCCTGGCAGTGGACAGTGTGTTGCATTCTTGGACAACACAGTTAACTCTCACAGTGCCTCTCTCCACCCATGTGTATAAATGGGTACTGGGGAATTTAATGCTGGGGGTAACCCTGGGATAGCCCAGCATCCCATCCTGGGTGGAGTAGAAATACTCCTAGTCACTTCATGCTACAGAAATTGGAGATAAGCTCTGGCCTGATGCGCCACTTGGCTCGTATACAGACTTTAACTACCTAACCTTTATGACCACCTCATGTGACAGTCTACTTACATACCCCCCCCCCCCTCCAGTACCCGTCTGGTGGTGGGAGTTGTGTGGAAAGACTTCAAAATATTGAAAGGATACCCTAAAAGGTAGCAGAGTCTTGTTTTGCATGTTTTGGTTGAACTCACTTTTTCCCATGGCACTAATATTTCCAATGCAAAACTTAGTTTCTGGTCTCATGTCCTAAACTGGACCAGGATAATTCACTGGCGGTACCATTAGCTACAAATTTGAAATTTGAGCCCCTTCAGGGTTGCCACAGGCTCAGGAATGGTCAGGGAAAAAAATTCTTCAAGGTCAGGGAAAAGTCAGGGGAAATTGGCATTTTGAAGAAAAGTCAGGGAAAATTGTCAACAGGATTTAATACGTCTGGTTTAATGCCAGTGATTGTTGGAAGAAATATTTGGGGTCACTATGATCTCAACAATATTTTTCATTAATGAAGAAGGAAAATTGTGTAAAATTATCGCTCGTAATAAATGAGTGGAAGAGGAAGCCCCTACTGGACCTGACATTTTGTATTTCTTTGGTCAGGGAAGTTTTATTTTTATGAGGGAAAAGTCAGGGAATTTTGAAGAGAGATGTCTGTGGCAACCATGCCCTTGACAACATGATCAGCCCTGCCTTTTTCATTTTACACGTCACCCACCTCCCTATCCTCCTCGGCAGTGTCTGGGCCTCAAGAAGAGATTTTGGTCTCCAGAACGGCAATATTGAGCCTGTTTTTACATTTTTATTCACTGTTTTGGCGTGTAGTTACGTTTTTCTTTCATTGGTGTTTAAAGTTGACAGATCCTCCCGAGGAAATAAAGAGAAATGGCATCAAAACCATCACGTATCTTCGAAACATACTGCGCAGATCAGAGGGGTATTACACCATGAAGCTGATGCTGGTAGGCAGGGCTGCTCAAGGCAAGACAACATTGAAGCATCGGCTGATGAGAAACTACAGTTACAATGAAAATAAATCGACAAACGGTGGGGAATGTTTCTTTTAATGTTTAACAGTTGTAAATAGATCCTTAATTTTAACTTTTAACGCTGTAAATAGTTCCTTAATCTTAACATTTAGGTGTCTCCAATAAGTAGAGGGTTTCACTCTCGGCTATCAGTTTACCCAGACACGTTGATAATGTTGTCGTTGTTTTCTTCAGGATTATAAAAAGACACACTGATTATGTTAACTTAATAACCCTCAAGTTCACGAGAGTGAACAACATCTATTTACTCCTTACAGAATCAGTACTGTAACATTTTTTATATTGTTACAGTGTAGGTCACAAAAAGGGAGAGGAAAAGTTTTGATTTTCAGTTCGGGAGTGATTAAGAAGGTATACAGAGGGCCGTTTCATCATATAAGCTTACTTGATGCTTAATGAAGAACTGTGTTCAAAAGTGAATTTTCTGTGTTTTATTTTTTTTCTGCAGGAATTGCCATGGATGAATTCCGTTACAATCGAAAGGACTACGGTCTATTCCCGATTTACCAGGAGTTCGTTTTCAAAATTTGGGATTTTGGTGGTCAAGAAGACTTCTATACAACACATCAATGTTTTCTATCCACTCTGGCGCTTTACCTACTGGTGTGGAACCTGGAAGAAGGTAAGGCAGATGTACCACTGTAACCATATCATTCTTTACTTCTCACGATACTTAATACCATAAAAGTTGAATGGTATGGGCGTTGAATGGAGGTTTTTATTACAGTATAACTGACAATTTTTCGGGACTTTGGACGCTGGCCGCCCAATAAAGGTTGGCCGCTTAATAGGGGGCCGCTTAATAGAGGTTTGACTGTATTACGACAGTTTTTTCCCTAGCAGCACATGCCTTTGTACATTATTTATAATAAACGTAACTCGGATTTTGAAACAGTGCTGCGTCTAGCTGTCCGGCAGCCGGATAGCGTTTTTAAAACACTCGGTGATGGCTGTCAGAAATTTCCCTTTTGTATTTTGTTAACGATACAATTTTTGAGAACTGGGGAGCAGAGCCTCCCAAGAAAGTGGCGCGGGTTCGATTCCGGCCCGGTGTTCTATGTGGGTTGAATTTGTTGTCGGTTCTCGCCGGTTTTTGTCCGGGTTCTCCGTTTTTCCTCCCACAAAAACCAACATCTCCAAATTCCAGTTCGACCAGGATAGAGGATCTGCATGAATACCAGCTAAGGCTGATGTGGCTTCCTCTTTTAAGTATTGTAATTTTTTTTTTAACTAACCGTAAACAGGTTAACCGGTGCACCGTTCACGACAGGCTAACCTTTGCTCTTTTCAGGCTAACCGGAGTGCTATTCAGGACATGGAAATGGAATATTTTAAACTAAGTGTAATAGTCCTTGTCCGTGGTTTTCACTTCTTGTTAGCAAAACTGTGATAAGTTTTGTTTAAGGTGGTGTTGGGAGACTTAATCTTTTCTCAGCAGGCGTCTGAGTGTACTCAGGTGCTGAAAACTTCAGGACCCGACTACACTAATGTGTTTTTAACAGTACCCGAATTCGTCTCAAGGAAGACTAAGCAAAATATTTTCGACCACACTAGCGTCAGGTTTAATTTTCGGTTTGTTTTCACCAGTCCACGCTAATGTGTTTTCGTATGAAAACGCATACTTTTTGATACGTTTTCGCCTATCGTCCACACAGAAACGACCGAAAACGGTGATGGAAACCACAGTATATGACGCTTTTTTCGGCACCGTTTTCAAAAGCCTCCGTTTTCATCTATCCACGCTGCACTAGAAACGGATTTCAAAAGGCTCCACTTTTGAAACCGTTTTCGAAAGTCTGCGTTTTTATCAACGGTAGGTGAAAACGCACCAAAAAGAATGCGTTTTCGTGCGAAAACGCATTAGTGTGATCGGGACACCATACGCCGGAAAAATTTGAAAACGCAACGATCACCGGCCATTTTGGATTTGTGTTCAAGGAAAGCTTGGGCAGGAAAATCACATGATTATCGTGACACCGTCGCTTCCGAAAATGTTTTCCGTCCACACGGAAACGAAAACGGATTGCTGTGGACCGAAGGCCTAACCTTAGAAATAAAGCTGCATTTTCAAATTCTTCCGATGTAGTGTGGATGGATCCTCCGTTGATACCTCGCTTGAAACCTAAGAAGACAGGTATGTATTATGTATTTATTATCTCTTGGTAGGTGAAAGCGGAGTCGAGATGCTGAAGAGCTGGTTGGACACCATATCTGCCAGCGCTTCCAACACCAGCCTCATCATAGTGGGCACACACTTGGACAAGGTTAAGAAAAACAAGGAACCCGGATTCCAGGAGCGCATGCGCGACTTAGTGAAGGAGCTGGTTTTGTTACCGAAGTACAGCCGAATCAATGTCAAGGATATCAAGGAAGTTAGTTGTGCACCTGACAACAGAGAAGGTTTGTGTACTGTAATGGCTTGATGTGTCGGCCGAAAGTAAAAACTGCAGAGGCGTCTGCAAACAAAGGGATTTTGTGTCTAAGCTTTAAGCAAGAAAAATGCCAACTGAAACGATTACATAGCTTACTGGCAGCTCAGCTCTTTGCCTTGAAAGTAACCGATTTAGTAATTTCACGATTCATAGTTTAGTTATATATTTACTTGCATCGCTGGAGGTAATTGGCTTCTAAGAGAGAAATTATGGAAAGACGGCCAATCCGCGTTCATCATGACGCAATAGGGTACCCCAAGTAAACCTGCTACCAGGCGTTTGTCTTTTTGCCTGTTCGCTGGCTAAAACAAAGTTTTTGCCTCTCTTGTAAATCAGTGCGCGGAATAGGTCATATACTCATGCCGGGGAATATCATTGCAAAGAGATTTATGTCCCAGTTTGTATTTGAAAAACTCCCCGCATTAGCCTCGGTTGCATGCTAGTTCCAGTCCAATACCGAGAATACGAAAATCGTGTATTCCATATCTGGCGCGTAATCTCGGATGCAAAATTGCAGGTTTCACTTCTGAAGACCATTAATGGCAACAACATGCGCTGTGCAAAGTTATGAATCTAATTATAATAATTCGCTACATTTTAGCATACAGACAGCAAAATTGAGAACTATGACGTGCTGATTTCTAATGCATTGACATCAAAAAGTATAAAAGTTTCACGACCGTGTACAGGAGAATTTACAGACTAAGGATCCCACCCGAGGCTCTATCATGGTCATTCAGCTCGCCCCCTCCCTCCACCTTTACACTGAAAAAGACTGATTTTTTTTCGTCTTTCCTTTTTGAAATAAAGGCATTGATGACCTCCGTATAGCCATTTACGATGTTGCCAGGAACCTCCAGAAGAGTGAACGCGGGCAAGTGTCAGTAATGGGCGAAAAGATTCCGCACAGCTTTTTGTTAGTGGCAGATATCATTGAAGCCAAGCGACAGGAGTTGCGGGATAATGGACGATTGCCAATCATGCACAAATCCGAGTACGAGGCACTTGTCCTGGACACCATTAAGAATGACACATTGGACATCGAGGACACTAATGACTTAGTGGAGGTTACTAAGTTTATGCACGAGAGAGGTGAGTTTGAGCTCTCTGATTGGTTAATTGTCAAGTGCGCTATAACCAATCAATCGCAAGCAAGGCCAAAACAAGTTGTGATTGGCTAAGGCACGTTTTTCCAAGCTTGAGACCCGCTGCGTGTTTTCTCGTGCTTGACACTTTTTCTCTGGTTACACGGCCGCTCTTGACATTAGTGGCATGCTTGTCCTTCGAGTTAAAGTTATTTTATTTAAAGTGGTTTTATTTAGCCATTTCTAAACACTTAATGTAGCGATTGATTGGCATACAAGCTGCACTTCTCGTCATATTTAATAAAGGTATCTTATCGTATCGTATCGTAATGTTGAGTTATCTCTGTACCGGGGAACGGTATGATTTTCTTCCACCACCATTGCCAAGGAGTAAGGAGCGAAGAATATCTGACCTGCTTGAACTGAGCGGGTAACGAGTTGAAATCTAAAATGAAACCGAAACGCTAACTAAGGATTTAAAGGTGCTGTCACGCCAGGCAATGTTTCTTGTTTCTTGTTTCACATAAAATTGTGAAACAAGTTGCAAGAAAAAATGGTTAATGTAACCCGCCTTGGATGTTCTTGTCTGCGCATTTTAACAGAGGGAAAACTGACAGTTTCGTGATCAGTTGGGAAAACACAGACGTCTTTACGCTGCGGTGAATCCGAGTTATGCGTGAAGTTTTTCCGCAGCCTGGGTCGTTCACTCGATTCGCCTGGCATCCTGCTATGTTACTACGTGTTTCTTATTTCTTCAATTGCCATATAATCTGGACAATGTTGGAAAAAATATCCATGTCACTTACTGTTGCAAGGTGATTGTGTACTGCCAAATGTTCGTCGTTTCCTAATCAATCCATGTCTACCATCTTGTATTCAAAAGGAAAGGATATTTAGTAATAACATAACATGCCTTCTTGGCGTTTTCTTGTGAAAGCTTAGAAGAAAAAGGAGGTGAAATAGGAAGAAAAAGGAGGAATAAAGGAAACCGTACTTACACTGAAAACCAGTGGGGCACCCCTATGTATACGCTCTCTTGAGCGCGCGTGCTCTTGAGTTTTCAAATTTGTCTGATGTCGTTACCAATAAACAATCGTCTTTAAAGAGCCCTCTATTTCAAAATTACCGCAGCTGTCATATTGAATGCTTGGGCAAGAGTAATAACTACGTTTCGCTACAGATGTCTCTCCCAAATTTCATTCGCTTGATTACACAAAATGGCGACTCGAAACGTGGGGAGGCGTACTCCGCTATTTAGTTTTTATTTGTCTCGCTCTTTCTCTGTTTATTTGGAATTATATGAAACGTTTTTTCGAGTTCCTTCTCAACGTCTTCTTTGTCAGTTTGAAGGCAATGCTATAGTTAATTTAAGCTCATTTGATTCGATCATCTTTGTATTTTATCCTGTCTATGCTGAGGTCAGCTAATTTTTAAACGTCAGTGTCGGTGAATACATGAAGAGCTCAAAATGCTGAATCTTGGTTATCAATGTCTCCCAGTATATTACTAAAACGATTGTACATAAAAAATCATGAAAGAGCCAGGCCATCCCATGGCATTGGAAAACTTGAAGACGTACACTGGTGCACGGCGGAAAAAAAGATTTTTCGGGAAATGGCCTCACAAAATTCAAGAAAAGAGTTAAAACATTGTCAATCTGGGCGAAACACCACAGGAGTGCGAATTTACCTTACATCGAAGATTGAAATGTGAATTTCTTACTAAAACGAGACTACTTATCTGTCTTGACAAGCTCGTTGCTTTCACTGTCATTGTTTGTTTGCATTACAACACTGGCGCCACGGGACACTTTTCGAATAAAAATAGGGAAAACAACCTTCGTGTCGTTACACAAAGGCTAGCTTTTTACATGGAAAAGTGAGAAACTAGCTTTGAACCATGTGTATAACCACTACATATTGATTTTACATTTTTTAGATTTTTAACGTGACTTTGGGTTAGTTTTGATTTCAAGTTGGTAGCTTTGCCGGGCAACTATGCAGTCAGGAAGCAAGGCACCGACAGAGTTGATAAAGTTTAAAAGAAGCAACTATTCATGAGAACAGAACCAGACGGGAGAAGAGAACCAGACGGTCCCTAATAATAACATGGGTTTCTGTTGTTTTGACATCCACTCACAAACGTAAAGTTACGTGTTAAAATCACGCCTATATGACGGCAGATACACCTCCTACCTGTTAAATTCCTCAATTGCCTGTGCTGTTTACTACCTTTAGAAAATGACACCATAAACAGAGCGCATAGAGTGAAATGAGCAACACTTGTTGAATACTTCATCCCAAGTGTGAACAGTTGACCAAGAAACCGGAACGACAAAGAAGGTCTCACAGATTCATTCCACTCAACTATAATAGAGAGGCCACCTGCCCGGGGAATCGATGGATAAAGGATGTTAACGGGTCACGTAATTATAGTTCCATAGTTTTTCTCGACAAACTGGGTTCTTTCTGGTAAACACCTGTTACTGAAAATGCTCTGCAGAATTTAGGTTGTGTTAAAATCTGAATTGTGCTAATTTATAGGCTTGTTGAATATTTGGTTAAAAATGCTTGTAAGCTATTATTTCTCCACAAGCAATCAAGCAGAGCGTTCATTCTATGGGTTTTTCACAATCCAGGACCCCGAATTAAGAAATACTGTGTAAATTGGCTTCGTGGTGCGTTTAAAAATTGACCCTACACGGCCAATTTAGGAAGAAAGCGGCAACAGCTTCTTAATATCAAAGGGATTTTTCGAAATTTCCGTTTACCATAACGGCGGCAAATTTTACTAATGGGCGAAAGTGAATTAAAGACAAATTCTGATAATCACCGACGATGGGGGTACTGGTGCAATTCTCCCAGTACAAATAGTTACGCTGGGGTGGCTGGTAGGGGTGACGGTTGTCGATATCACAACTGTTTGCCATTACCATTGGAAATTCAATGTACATTCAAACTAAAAAAAAAACTATTCTATTTCCTGTGCAGAGGCTCGTTAATGGAAAGAAAGTAAACGGGCTAATTACTGGACAAAACAAGGTTTTGACCGAATGAAATCATCGTGTATACAGCCGGGACAAGGACCAAAGCTGGCAGACATTACTGCAAACTGTGAATCTGGTTTGGACCGGCATCAGTGATTGGAGACGAGAAGAGCTTTTTATGTATTTCTAAGCTTCTAGTCTTGCATCCGCTTGTTTCGTCCCTCTCAGATTTATCTACCAAATTAATTCGAGAGCACTCAAATGTAGCGCTACACAAATATAACCAGAGTTAACACATGGCGAACATAAACTGAAACTCCTTTGCTAATCTCCTATTGCAATAGCGCTGCACACTGTCACTCAGAATAGATTTCATAGTCATAGTAATAGTTACTTTATTAGTCACTCCATTTAAAAGGGTTTTTCACCGCATTGTTCTCCTGGGCGTTCGAGAATTTTGTTTAACATCTGAATGCTTTTCGGTCCATGTCTAGTGCAATCAACTCAGTGTGGCTTTAGAATGGTCGCGCGAAAATTTCCAGTTGATAGATTTTTTAGAAATGTTTACTGCAGTCAGATAATGGGTAACTTGTGTCAGAAATGCAAAAAAAAAAAAAAAAAAAAA